AGAAATAATTCTCCTCTTACTCCTTCAGCTTTAGGAAGCTTCTGCTCCCAGTTTTGTTCAGGGGAAATAATTTCTGTGGCAAATGCGGTGAAAATGCTTCCACCCGTGGTCAGATCTCATTTTTCCCTTCCTGATTTACAACATTATTTATATTTTCTGTGGCTCTGTGTATGTATCAGGCAAATTGGATGGATTTAGAATTGAAGTTCTCTTGAAGTTCTCTTTCAGCCTCTGTTTCTCTCAGTTCAGTTTGGAGGTGGCTSTGCAAAAGGCACCACTTGTTACTCGATTTTGTTGCAATATGTTCATTATTTTTGGGCCAGAACCGCTGGATTTGGATAGGAAGGGGACTTAAAAACCATCCTGCCATGGTAGGGAGACCTTCCAATATCCCAGGTTGCTCCAGGGACCTTAAACATCTTCTCATTCCAACTTTCCAATACCCCAAGGTGCTCCAAACCCTGTTCAACCTGGCCTTGGCCAATTCCAGGATGGGAATAATAAATGTGTGTCTTTATCTGGAGATGAGGAAATGATGTTACAGCACCATTTTTAATCAGTATTTAGGGAAATAACCACTACACTTTTATCTGGAGGATTGAGGAGGACTTGGAAAATGAAACTTCATCTCTGGATTATGGAGAGTTTATCTGAGTGAATTTCAAAGGCAGACCTGAGCCAACAAAYGCCTCACACTTCATCTGAGATAACAAATGATTTCTTGAGAGCTTGGGTCTCCAGTAGGATTAAAACTTGTGGGCATCCACAGCAGCTCAGCTGATCACTTGAACTGCAATTAAAAAGTAGAACAAGCACACTCCGAATATTGTCTTTATGTCAGAAATGCTCCTTCATGCTTGAAAATGATAAAAAATTGCAATCGATCCTTACAACTGTTGTGTTCATCTTTATTGAGCGGGTTAAAGAAAGATAAATGGCAGCAAGGATCAAATTCTGGGAAATGTTGGCCTGGGAGGGGACGGCGGGTGACGGAGGGCGATTCATCATCGCGGCCCCCGCGCCGGCGAATCCCGGAATTATCGATCCCATTCCCAGCCCAGAGCCYGGGACGGGGCTGTCATTGGGCAGCTGTGATTGCTGCATGCCAGGGGCTCGCTGGGGTGAGGAGAATTCCACCTTYATCTGCTGGCTGGCCAACGATGATTTATGAAAAAATAAATGAGCGCCGGTGGCGAGCGTGGAAAGCTCCATTTGGGTGCAAATGAAGGATTAGGAGTGGGGATGGCAGTGGGGAGTGTGGCTGAGCTTTGGGCTCACACTGAGCTGGGCCTGACCCCTGCCTGCAGTGCCTCTTGCCCAATTTGTTCTCATTTCAGGGAAAATATGAGCCCCACGATGCAATTTTAGCCATGTGTGGAGCTGGCATTTTATTCACTGATTTTGGTACATGTCAAGATTATCATTCGCAGGGAAGAATCTTGGAAGGTGAAATCTTTAAGTGGGAAGGAAAAATGTTTTTCTTTGCATTCTTTTTTTTTTGTAGTTGGTGTTGCCTCTTTTGGAATTTCAGGATTTTTTTTGCAGGAGTGGGCTCTGTTACCTGCACTGCTCAGAACATGATGRATATTCCTCAGGCCATGTTTGCTCACCCCGTGACCATAGACCTGTGTCATCTGTGACTTTTATGGATGAGTGATCTCTCCACTTACAAGGCTTTTCAATTTTGTTTTTTCCTCCCCCTAAAAATGTTTTTGCTATATTGTTTTTCCATACATCAACGTCTTCAGCTGAACTGCTTTGTTTTACCCAAAATTAGAATTGGGATGATGCTTCCTGTGGACTGGATTTTGGCATCTGTGTGTGTTACAGAATTGTGGGATAGTTTGGGATGGAAGGGATTGTAAAAAAGGACACCTCCCACTGTCCCAGGGTGCTCCAATCCCAATGTCCAGCCTGGCCTTGGGCACTGCCAGGGATCCAGGAATTCTCTGGGAATTCCATCCCAGGCAGGAATTCCCAATTCCCCAGATCCCACCCCAATCTCCCCTTTTCCACTCTGATCCATTCCCTGTGTCCTGTCCCTGCAGCCCTTGGCCCCAGT